AAACAGACAGTTACTCACTTAAGCTGATATAAAATTTACAAGAAATAATGATTATGAGTTACTTTAAGAGCAATATATACCTACCTGGTGCCAAAGGTGATGTACACTACTTTAGCGCTAAAATTATTATAAAGAGTACATAGAATTACAGTTTGATAAATTTAAATCTCTCACACAATACAAACCTTGGGAGGTGATGCAAGTCTGTAATATCTTCCTTCCTTGATCAAAACCTCAGAGGCAAGTCCTTTCTTAAGTGACTCTTTGATCCGTATTTGTGTATTACTAGGAGATTCTAAACTTGCAGCATGACGATCAACAACATAACTATGAATAGCTTGCTGTGTGCATCCATTTTCATCTCCTACATTCTCAAGAGCTTCCTTAATAAACTCCAGGAAGTCTAAGGGTCTTTCAACAGTTCCTCGTATATGATGAGGTACTTTAGCAGGGTCCTTATACGAGGCTTTGTCTTTAAAAACTACCTTTAGAACTCTCCCTGTTTTCACACACAGCTCAAGTTGTTCCAAAGCCACCTGCGGGTCTAAGCCATAAACATGTTGAAGAATATGAGCAATACGGTCCTCGCTTGGCCGTTGCTTCTGTCCCTTGACCTTGCCTATAGCAGCGATTATCCACAGAGCATACTTTGGATCTGGTTCACGGTCTTTATCCTTCTCCTTTTCCTTCTCCTTTCCAACACTGCTTCTTCCACGTGCCATCTTTGATCAACAAATCCCAATCACAAAATAAAAGCTGAAAGACATAAAATAAAACTAATTAAGACAAATGAAGCACAAATTCTACTAAGGGAACAAATAGGCACAACTGTATTACAAGGTTAACTAACAATAAAAACCTTGATTACTGTGAATTACCTGCATAATTATTTAACATTTACTTAAAGGTATTTAATTTAATGTGCACTGTTCTAGATTGTGTAACCATGATGTTTAAAGCTTGCACTCCATATATACAATATATGGGTCTTGTGCTATATGTATAACCACTTTGCTGACTAAACATTATTTATGTTACAAAGCTAAATGAATCAAATGTGACATTTAGCTTTTTCCAAATTGAAAAACGAAATAACTAGAGGTTTCGGAATCTAAATTTTCAACTACATGTATGCATATAATCGTGGATAGTAGAAGGCATGACAAAATTTAANCTTTAGCGCTAAAATTATTATAAAGAGTACATAGAATTACAGTTTGATAAATTTAAATCTCTCACACAATACAAACCTTGGGAGGTGATGCAAGTCTGTAATATCTTCCTTCCTTGATCAAAACCTCAGAGGCAAGTCCTTTCTTAAGTGACTCTTTGATCCGTATTTGTGTATTACTAGGAGATTCTAAACTTGCAGCATGACGATCAACAACATAACTATGAATAGCTTGCTGTGTGCATCCATTTTCATCTCCTACATTCTCAAGAGCTTCCTTAATAAACTCCAGGAAGTCTAAGGGTCTTTCAACAGTTCCTCGTATATGATGAGGTACTTTAGCAGGGTCCTTATACGAGGCTTTGTCTTTAAAAACTACCTTTAGAACTCTCCCTGTTTTCACACACAGCTCAAGTTGTTCCAAAGCCACCTGCGGGTCTAAGCCATAAACATGTTGAAGAATATGAGCAATACGGTCCTCGCTTGGCCGTTGCTTCTGTCCCTTGACCTTGCCTATAGCAGCGATTATCCACAGAGCATACTTTGGATCTGGTTCACGGTCTTTATCCTTCTCCTTTTCCTTCTCCTTTCCAACACTGCTTCTTCCACGTGCCATCTTTGATCAACAAATCCCAATCACAAAATAAAAGCTGAAAGACATAAAATAAAACTAATTAAGACAAATGAAGAACAAATTCTACTAAGGGAATAAATAGGTACAACTGTATTACAAGGTTAACTAACAATAAAAACCTTGATTACTGTGAATTACCTGCATAATTATTTAACATTTACTTAAAAGTATTTTATTTAATGTGCACTGTTCTAGATTGTGTAACCATGATGTTTAAAGCTTGCACTCCTTATATACAATATATGGGTCTTGTGCTACATGTATAACCACTTTGCTGATTAAACATTATTTATGTTACAAAGCTAAATGAGTCAAATGTGACATTTAGCTTTTTTCAAATTGAAAAACGAAACAACTAGAGGTTTCAGAATCTAAATTTTCAACTAGACGTATGTATATAATTGTGGATAGTAGAAGGCATGACAAAATTTAACCAAATACTAGTCCTGAAGCCTCCCTTTTCAAGTCATCCAACTCACTGACAGCCCAGACAATTTCAAATTACATATCACAAATACAGATCTATTAAGACTCTTCTATTTTGATCTCACAAAGATCTCTAATTTTTCACTGACCTTAAAATAAACTAGATATATAAAAGTCGATATGAACAGCAGGGGAATAATAATCCTTGATGGAAAGCTTTGAATATGATACAATAAAGATGACAAACAGAATGAATTCGAAGAAAAATTCTAGCCTCATACACACATGTATTCAACATACCCAATTCTTACTTCGACAACAAAAGTTTTAAGTGATCATAATCCATTTCGCTTAATGTCTCAAGGCAAAGCTTTGCATTTTTGGCAGCAGCTGCAGCTGAAATCGACAAGATGATTGATCATTCATCTGTGTCCATACAAAACTTCACATGTTAAAGTAGAACAATGAGCTGAGCTATCTGCCACTCATTTCTGTCTCAAATTTGCATTTTAATAAAAACAAAAGAAGAAATCATTTAAAAACTGCCATATCTTCATCCATATCAAGATAAATTACATCTTAAAATGTTATGAAAACAGTTTTGACCTGTATCTCTTCTTCGACATTTTGCCTTCAAATACAAATGTAACAAGCCTTCAGTAGATAAGTCTATGAAATTAAAACTTGGATATATGCAAATAAAAGTTGATAATGGATTTTATTACGTTTGCACCTTTGCATGTGTTCAAAATAAAAATTACTAAAGGAAAAAAAAAACACCTAACTTAGACACAAAGAGGGAGAAAAATACACTATGAAGGATAATTCTTTTCCAAGAAAGTATTCATTGTCAGTTCAGGTATATTCATATTGTCTGCCATATATTGTATAACAATCACACTGATGGATGTTAAAATGTCAAAATAAGAAATAAGCATACTAATGAAACTGTCTGGTGTAGTCGTATGTATTTATTTCAAGTGAGAGAATAGGAATTTGAAATGATGTCTGTACTAACAATTCAACTGTACATTAACAAATGGGTACAGAAACTTGTGTGAGAGAGGATCATTTTCATTTGAAAAGGTACATGTGGCTAATTGAGATCTTTTTGTTTAACACAATGTGGCAGACATGTGATTCTGGAGGACTGTTGGCTGGTGCCGTCGACAACAATATCAACACCACATCATACAAGAGGAAGAGAAACTTTCACTAATTTAAAACGACTTGGCGTTTTTGTGAAATAAACGTAATTTAATAACATAGCAAAGTAATTGTCCGATCCCAACAGACGAGAAAATAAAAGCTATGTAAACGTTAGCTAATATAAGTTTAAACGTGCATTAACTTAAAATTCTAAGCATAATGAAAAACACTGGGAAAACATGTCAACAATGAATGATCTCTGATGATATTTATAAAAATAAAATTCGGAAAGCGAGAACCCTAAGTCTAAGACTCAATGGTACACTAATAATATGTTATTAAGTCGATGGCCCATATCGGCGTGTGTAACCTACAACATAAAATGCAAGATAAATTCAAATAATTGGTAAAAGCTCTTGATGGTAATAATATCATCTTATGAATTCTGTCTGGGCGAATTCTGTCCATTCCATATTCATTCACGGAGGTAGAATACTGAATACTGATCGGATAAAAATCATGAGGCTTCAGGAGTTATATTATTTAGACCTGCAGAGTAGTAAGTAGAAATATATAACTTGTAAACTCCTGTTGATCTCAACATGTCACATCTTCAAATTACGTTACCTCAACACGATAGCAGTAACTCCTCTGACCACAACCGGCAAGAACTACTTTTACTACAGTTAAAAATCTACGTTCTGTATCTTTCTTTTCATAAGATTCTGTAGCTCTACAACGAAAATATACCTAAGATATCACCGCCAAGAATAACAGTAGCCGGACTAAGCTTTCAAAGGCCACGTGAAGAACACAATTGAGAGAGATTTTGCATATCGCATGTGTTGATCCACATTGAAAGGGTAACACATGCTCCGCAAGAACATATTAAAATTTACCTTGTCTTTCAAGAAAATGTCATCCAAATGAACTCCCAATGGACGAATTACAATAAGCTATTCGATGGTTTCCATTTTTTGCTCCAGAAGGGAAAAACCTGCCTAATATTCCCCTGACAAATGAAGACATTGCTATCGTACATAGCGCGTTGACGCCATTTTGCATAATTAGCTCAAAGGTGCAACGTGATTGGATAAAGAAAAATTCATAAATTATTCAGCACTTGAGATTTTCTTGTAAATCGAGCGAACTTTGTGAACATCCTGTTCATATAGGCGCTCTGTCCTGTACTGTAAACGTTTTTGAATTTCCGTGAAAAAAAATTACGCACTCGAAAAAGTTTCCAGCTGCAAACCAGTTAAAAAAGTTAGTAAATTAATGTGTTTGTTTCAATATGTTCCAAGAGGTGTGCACTTCATGAGAAACGTGAAGTTCGGATTTGTTTATCATTATTACCATTATTATTTTTTTCATGGTTATTATTTTATGTTTTTTTTTTATTTTTTTACTGAAAAAAGTTAGATTTGAGCAAAAATAGGGTTGGGAAATGGAATTTCCTCCCCCAGCTGGCAAACAACAACATCATTACCATTTTTTAGAAATTAATATTTACATGTTAATGGCAGATCGGGAACTGGTAAACTCAGATTTACTTGAGATCTAATCTAGTTGAGTAATATTTCCTGGCCGCTGAGGAAACAACGTGGATTTGAAGGACTGAAAATTTAAAAGCGCAAGAGAAAATACCTCTTTTCGCCCGGTCCTCACTTGCGACGCAAGCAGAAGCGGAAGCAGAAGCAAAAGCATGAGCATAAGAAGCGTATGCGCTAGTGAGGACAGCCACGAGTGTGATCGTCCGGGTGAGGGTAGTCACGATTCTGAAAAGAACTGTTGTTGGTGACTGACGTTTTGACAACCTAAGCGGAAGTCATATTCGGAGTCATCTTCACTTGTGACTGAGAATATCAAAACCTTGCGTTCTTCTTATGCTTATGCTTATGCTTATGCCTATGTCGTTATTATGTCCAGTGAGGATATGTTGGCATAAGCATAAACATAAGAATAAGCGTAAGACTATCAGCCAATCAGCGAGCACTTTATGCTTATATGTCAACGATCTCCTCACTCAACATAAGCATAAGCATAAGCATAAGCATAA